AGTTACATTATATTCACTTCTTATTATTTTTTTATAAAACCATATAGACTGCACAACATCACAATGGTATCTTCAGATCTGATGCCATTTCTTTGTCTCAGTCATGGACTTGTGCTTGTCTCTTGCAGGAGTGTGGCTATGGTGAAGGAAGGGATGCGCAGTGCACTGCTTGCCCTCCCAGGAGGTTTAAGGACAGCTGGGGGTTCCATGGTTGCAAAACTTGTCTTTCCTGCCCCCTCATCAACCGTGTCCAGAAATCCAACTGCACTGCCACTTCCAATGCAGCCTGTGGGGAATGTCTTCCAGGGTGAGTACAGCTGGCAGCTGGAACACCAGCAGCAGACGCACGTGGGAGGGCATAGGGAGGTGCTGTTCAAAGAGATGATATATACAATTCCCTTATACTTTGTCCTGTTGTTAGAGCATTCTCCACTTACTCTTTGGCAGGTTTTACAGTAAAACCCGGATTGGCGGGCTGCAGGATCTGGAATGCATCCCCTGCACAAAGCAGACTCCTTCCTCTGAGCCTCAGTGTACGTAGCCAGCAGCACTCCAACCTGTTGTCTTTCACTGTGTAACCTGTCATGTCACAGGGCATGCGGTGAGCCCTGCCGGATTAACAGGAGGTGGGAGGAGTGGTGGAGTGGAGCGGGCCAGTGATGCATGTAATTCAATATCACCTATCTCCGACAGTGGCCACTGTTACATGCTTCAAATAAAGGCATAAACCCCCATAGTGTAACTAAGGGCAGGTCTGCACTTAAAACACTGAATTGGCACAGCTGCGTGGCTGTAGTGCTTTAATGAGGATGCTCTACGCTGACGGGAGAGTTCTTTCCTGTCAGCTTCGTTAATCCACCTCCGTGAGAGGTGGTAGCTGTGTAGGTAGGAGAAGCTTTCCCACCAACATAGCGCTGTCTACACTGGTACTTAGGTCGGTATAATTATGTCGCTTGGGGTGTGGATTTTTTACGCCCTTGATGTAGTATACCAAAGTAATTCTGTAGTGTAGACTTGCCCTAAGTGTGCAAAGGAAAATTCCCTCCTGACCCCCGCTGCCGATCATCTTTTCCCTGAAACATGAAGATTGAGGCTTTTTGTTATTTCTGTCCTCATGAGTGTCCTTGCAGAGGCTGTGCTTATTCATTTAAATGTCTAGTCCTTGTGTTGAAGTTTATTACGCTAGCTGTAGCAGAAGAATTCTGCCCCAGTGAGTTCTGACCAAGGAAGTACTGACAGTATATAGCTGGAGGGGAGGGGCAGGTGGGGCCAGCAGTGCCATGATATGTGGTCAGACACAGCAGCTCAGCCATTTTCTATCCTGTAATGTTTTGTTATTTCTGTTGTTAAAAATCAAGAAAAATTTAGGAGCCTAATTCCCACTGACAGTCACAGAAAGTTCATGGATTTAGATTCCTTAGAGCAACAGGAGGTGGGAGGAGTGGTGGAGTGGAGCAGGCCAGTGGTGTATGTAATTCAATATCCCTTATCTCTGACAGTGACCACCTAACAGTGGCTTAGGTGTCTAAGTCCATTAACTTTCTTTGACTGTCTTGGGAATTAGGTTCCTAAGCCCCTTAGGCAGTGTTCCCTCAAATTTTTCCCACCCATGTGTGGAATGAATTTTGTTATGTGCGCCGCACTGCCCCGGCTGCAGCTGGGTCCGGGCCGGGCCACCCTGGCCAGATTCAGGCCAGGGTAGGGGCACCCAGGCTGCCGCAGGTCCGGGCCGCGGCATAGTTGGGGCTGGGGGGCCGCCCCAGCCATGGCAGGTTGGGGGCCAGGCTAGGTTGGGGTGCCCCCCCAGCAGCAGCAGGTCCCCGGGCAGGTTCCCTGAGCACCTGTGTGG